TGAGCCCATCTGGCTGTGATTCCTCCTAATTCATTCTGTTAAAAACCCCAGCCTTTAATGGAAAAGCACCTCCCTGTGCGTGCAAAGACTCTGAACAACAAATAACCCTTTTGATAAATATGTAAATGTTCTTCTCCCTTACCACCTTATTTAGCAAGGTAAAATGGCTCAGGTCTTTTTTTACTTGGAAAAGTTTCCCAAAGCATGTCAGAATTTTCATTTTGATTGCGTTCTTGAGGACTTGAATTAATTTTCAAATTTGCAATCTGATCATTTTAGTAGCTTGGACTTGGTGCACATCTGCACAGAGGAATTAATGTTGGGTGTTAGGCCATGGGTCTAAAAAAGGTCATGTCACAAATAGGGGTAAAACTTTTCTCTGATGTCTGGATGGTGGCCATGGACCGCTTGTCTGTCCAAAGTCTCTGCCTTCGGATGAGCTGACTTTGCATCCCAGAATCTTTCACAGATGCCTTCTGTGAACTGGATACATTTCTGGTTTAAATTTGTATGTTAGGCAAAACCCAACTGAATGAAGTAATAAACGACTGAAGCAATAAATCTGGGCTTAGAGAGTAATTGAAAAAAGTATGCTATTGTTCAGAATTCTGTTTAATTTGAGCCAAATTTGAATATGGGCCTTGATTTAGGAAAGCTCTTGAGTCCCCCTAGCTTTCCTAGCTGGGAAAGCACTGAAGTACGTACCTAGATCCCCACTGAATTAATTTCCTTGGGGATCTATTAACAGTGCTCCCTGATGTCGCTGAGTAACACTAACATTACGACGCTTTATTGCTCCAAACTGTTGGCTTATCTTGGCAGGGATTGAGAAGTGGAACCCCCCATAGCTGAGACACTTTCCTCTCCATAAGCTAACAACAATTATAAAGCAGAGGATTTGTAGAAGGAAAAAAGCATCTTCCATATAATAACTACTCATCTCCCTCCCATTCTTTCGTTTTTTTAAGGCTTAGTGGCCTGTCCCCATTCCTGGGAGAAACTGATGCAGAGACCATGAATTATGTAGTCAATTGCAGCTGGGATTTTGATGCAGAAGCATTTGAACAGCTATCGGAGGAAGCTAAAGACTTTATTTCCAGACTACTTGTGAAGGAGAAAAGGTACCTCTTTGTCTGTTCGTGAAGACAGTAGCGCCTAATGACATTAAGTTCATCCTAGCCAACTGTTTGGATTGCAGCCAACAATGAGAACATGACATTTCTGTATGCTGTTTCTGTGCTTGCTGGGCAGTTCCTCAGTGATTCAAAAAGGAAAATGTCTGTGTACCTTGATGCTACTGTGAAAAGCAGAACAGAGGAAATATGGAAGGATTTGCTGTGTAGGAATCTGGTTTTAGTATTCTTTTTCTGAGCAAAAGCTATTTCTATTGTTACTTTGGATTCTCACAAGCCCTGACACAAATTGCAAAAATGTCTCTTGAATGCCGTGGAGGATAAATAGAAGCTGCAGCTATGAAAATGTGCATTGTTCTCTTCTAAAGTGGTCTACATGCATTTGGTAGATATTAAGGAGCATTTGGGACTTAACTCTGCATGTGGCTTCTTCTCAGTCTTGGCTCCACTGAAATAAAAAGTGATTGCACATATGAAACAACAGGAGAGAATGAGGATGATATTGATGTCAGACCATGGCTATGGGGTTGCGTAAGTGAGTAGAGAAATTTTTCTCTTGCTGAGTAGTGATACAAAACTAATCAACACAGGAAATGATGCATACAGTAAAACAGATTGTGTGTTCAAGGGGAATTCAAAGGAGTGCTTAGAATATTAACAACTTCCAGATCATTACCTAAATCAGACAAATCAGTTCTAGTATTAATTACATTTTGAACAATAAGTCATATGAAAGGCTAAGAATAAACTGAACTTTAGCATATTGCCAGCAGGAGACAACAAAGGGTTTTTTTGCAGATTGTGATGAGGATTTGCTATGAGACTGTAAACTTTGCTTTGGAGTCTTCCATTTTTCTGTGCGATGGGAATAGGGACTCCAGAGGGACACTATGCAACGTCTGGTTAGAAGCTGTGAATGAAATGACTATGCAAGAAAAGAGTGTTGTCGGTGAGATGCAAAGATCAACGATTAGTTGGCCCAGTTGTTCACGAGGTACATGGACAGCCTCCGCTCTCCTACAGACTAGGCACCTTTGCCATGCTGGGACAGTAGGGCTGGCCTTGTGCAAGATCTGTACCTACCTCCCCTGACTACTGCAATTAGGTGCGAGCAGGCAGGAGTCATCTTTTCATCATCTTCTCAGTGACAGCTCAGACAAAGCTCAGGAGTTAGGCATAGGCTTTTGTTTTGAAAAAAGGCAAATTAAACTTTTTTTCTCAACACCTCTCCCCAAGATTTCCTGTACTACCATAAATTTCTCAGAGCTTTTTGGATAGGCCTTCACATTTGGGCCCATTGTTGAATGTCAGGATTATAATGTATGCTTAGCTTGATCGAAGTTTAGGGTGAATAGACAATTGTGCTTTTTAAATATGAGGCACAGAATAAGCCTGCACTATCAGGACAGACAGATAACATCACAAATATTATTTTTCTGTAGGCACTGATTCTTTTTGCAAAGTTCTGCATTCACATAACAAAATGATACATAAACTGATGAACCTGTACAGCTGCTTCTTCAAAGAAAAAAAACCACACCCAAACCCTAAAAAGGCAAAATACAGTATTTAACCACAGCTCAATCAACCCACTGCAGACCCACCAGCAGCTTTTCACACCACTCACCCCTTAAACTGGAGAGTGCAGGATGTCATTAGGATCCTATGCACTGGGATGAAGAGCATCTCCACTCACTTGTGTTGGTTCATTTACGGCAGTTTCTTTATCAATAATATGGAGGAGGACAGGGCACTGAGAAAATGGCAATGAGGGTAGCTGGATTTACATGACAGATTTCCTCTCTCGCAGCTGCCGGATGAGTGCAACACAGTGTCTGAAGCATGAGTGGTTAAACAATCTACCTGCCAAAGCCAAGAAGTCCAAGCTTCGCCTGAAGTCCCAGTTGTTGCTGCAGAGTTACATGGCTCACAGAAAATGGAAGGTAAATAGACAAAGTCTGGCAAATCTACTTCCAGAGGGAAAATCAGCTCAACACAGGCAGAGCCATTCCCTCATTTTTATATGTTGGCTCACTTTTGCCCACAGGCTTCTTTCTTGTAAATACGAGTTTGGGAAGTCTATTTTCAGTTGTAAATTAAGTTTTTTCTCCTGCAGAATGATATTACTTCTATTTTTAGCAAGTTTGGTTTCAATTTTTACTCCTTTTGATTGGTGTTTAGAAGTTTTACAATTTTTTTTCTTTACAAGTTCAGAGACTACAGATGCTACTTAGCTTACATTAAATGTTCTTTCTCTTCATATTGGAGAGATTTTTTCCTTTGACAACAAGTTACATTGTTCTGTTTTCACTATGGAGTAGGGATACAACATAAGGCAGTTTTGTGCCTCCCATTGCAGAGCGTAGAAGTGTGGGAGAGAATAAAAATTAGGCTTAAACCCATCCAGAGAACTCTTCAGGACCTTTCTGGTAACTCCTTCAGAACTAAATTTTATATGAAGAAGTGATAGATAAGAATTTCTATTGGAGTCTCTATTGGATTGTAGATAATTGATCCTGAAAGGTGAACACAGTGAATAAGCCTGCGGAAATGTGAGGAAAACTCAGTGAGGACCATTTTCTTTTCTTTTGTCACTGGAGAGTTGTAATTCCTTGCCGAGGAGTTAAACCAGAAGCTTACACTTTTTCCACTCCTCCACTCCAGCTGTTTGGTCGCAGACTTCTGCACTTGCGTTTTAAAAAATACATGATTTAAAGACATATCATTATACAATTTGTAATAATGCTGCAGAAGTTCACAGTATCAGCAGTCTGTTCTGCAGTAATCAGTAGCTCCCCAGTACAAAGCTGTTCTGCACTGCAGTCCACACAAGTTGTGGGTCACTAGAGGTAAATGGATTTATCAAGAAGAAAAATCTGTGTCAGCCACAGAAAAGGTCCTTTACCTCAGTTGGACTCACATTTGGACTGTTCTGTTTTGTTCACAGAAACATTTTTATGTGGTGGCTGCTGCTAACAGGCTGAAGAGATTTCCGAGTATGTCTGTCAAGCTTGCATAAGCTTGTATGAAGCATCTGCCATTCTCGAGATGGACATGAAGCCATGGAAGAAGGACTCAGTATCTTCAATAATTTCTACCCCTTTGTTTTATAACATAAGGTTTTGGGTCTGTCCTCCTCAAATATTATGTGTGTTAGTGCTAAGGTTCCAGAAGTGCCTCAAGGAAAAGGCACTGTAATAATTTCTAAAAGCAGAAGCTGCCTTGTTTGTTTTTACAAGTTTTTAGTTGTTGTATATAGTGATGGAAAAACATGGCTGTTATTGCGGCTGACTTTTTGCTGAAGGCTTTGATTCTGCAGAGTATTGTTGCTGTGTTTACACCAAAAAACACCTTGTCAGTTTTCTAGTTTCTCACACCAAGCATGGGATCTCTAAAGACTTTCTTCATGACCGATGTATGTCATCAATTTCAGAGCACTGCCACAGCAGTGGCACAATTTTCCCCTCGGGTGTTTGTTACTTAGAACAAAAGAGATCGGATATCTTTTTCTTCTGTACTTTTTCAAAAAGATTATTTTTTTTTTCCCCCAAACATGATGATGATTCAGTGCAACTACTCAGAGTTGAATGGTTTTGGTTTATTGGGGTTTTTTAATTCTACTCTCACCTTTAAAAAATAGTCACCGCATAGTTAGGAAATATGAGGAATTCTGGTTTGAAGCAACTTAAGTCAGTCGGTCCATTGCTGCTTTTTCTTATGGTGAGTTGAATTGAGCTGAATTGATTGAACTTTTGGAAGGAGGTGGGTGAAACTGCCACAAATAAAAATTGCCTAGTGACCATTGGGTCTATGCAAAAAGATCTCATGTTGTCCAGAAAAGAAGAGATTTCCAGACATCGTTTTATATGTATTTAAAACTTGCTAGTGCTTCTCATTGGCTGTGACTGCAGCCCTTAATTTTGTAAGTTTTAGTTTGAGGATTTTTTCCTCCTCTCTGACAATTTTAATGAACTCTGAGAAGTTGATATGGTACGATATGCATAATAGGTTTTATTGCTGTTCAGTGGCAGGGAAACATCGTGTTGCCAGACTCTGCCTTTAGCCCAGTTAGGAGGTTGAAGCCCTTTTTCCCCCCACTTTGCTCTTGAACATTAAATATTTTCTTCACAATACTAACTTATTTTGGATTTTAAACTTTTTCCTGATGTACAAAGAGTTGGAGCCACTTACAATCTCTCAGTTAAAAGTATAACATTATTTATTAAACCTGTGGTTTTCTTTGTTCCTGTTCTAGATTCTGCAAAACTCAGTGTGATCTGGATGGGCTCTTGGGAGCAGAAAACTAATACTAATTAGGAGCAGAAAACAGAAACTAATACTACTAAAACTAGCTTTCCAGCAAAGGCATCAAACCACTGTAAAGTTCCCTTTAACTATATGGACTTTCGAATCCCTTGAATTAGCAAAAGTGTTGGTTGCTAATCAAGAGGTTTGCAAGACTGGCTTACCCTAGCCTAGTTATCTTTTCCACTCTAGTGCTTCTCACTTTGCATAGTCTTGAATTCTGGACTTCTGCATCATTGAAGCAGAGAAGAATTATTAAAATCAAGTGAAATAATCTTGACAACCTATCACCTTCTGTGAAGGCCCACTTTTGTTCATGTTTTCCTTCCACAGTGGTTCTGCATGCTAAATGTGATTACATTAATTGGTCTGTATATTTCTGAATTAATACTAATAAATTCCATTAAAGTGGACCAAGCCTATTCCTCAATTTTGGTTTAAACCCCCCCGCCAGACAAACCTGAAAGCATCTCTGTCTTAACAACAGAATGCTAATGTACTAAGTTGGATTCTCTCCCATCCTGAGGACCCTCTGCTACATATTAGATCAGACTTTAAATGGCAGACATTTTGTTACAGCTCTTACTCAATGTGGGTTAATTATCCAATATTTTCTCTGCACATCAGGCATTTGTTTGGAGTCCATTCCTCAATAGTTACTGTTACATTTCAGAACTCTCATCTGGAATGAAATTAGCTCTTGCTAATTAAAGTTGGCGTCAAGTGATTTCCTTTTTTATGCATTGGGAGGAGAAGTGAAAGGAAAACGGCCAGTAAGTTTTAATTTTCCAATTACTGTGTGTTTCTTCCTCTATTTTGTAAGAAGAGGGTAACACACGGATGCTCTCTGCTGTCTTGTACATATTTCCTCTCCGTTTTCTACAAAGAGAAGGTGCATCTGGCCAGCAGGATTACCATTTCATTTCTAACAGAAAAATCCCTTTAGATTCGGCAGCCATCACATGGTTCTGCAGTACAGCGGAACCCACCTCTGCAGCCTTATGGGATGTTTCACTATGTCCTGTGTATTTTGTTGTGGGGTCTACAAAAAGCTAAAAGGACAAACCACAGGTGACCTGTCAGTCACTGGAACAGTATAACAGAAAGAACTGGCCCCATACACTGATATTTAAAGCAGTTAATGATATCAACTATTGTAATCCTGGTGCGATCAGTGTTACCCAGGTAAGCAGGGAGTACGCACAGCAGTGAGGCATTTGGCAAGCCATTAAAATACTGTTGAGAAGCAGCTCAGGTGGGGGCAGTGTTTCAAATCTAATGCTCAGACATGAGATAATTTACGTTCCTTCATATGGACACTTGGGTTTTCTGGGTTGTTTTGAAATGAGAGCTTATGAAAGTTATCTTCTTTTTGCACATCCCAGGCAGAAAACATGCAAGAGAAAGGGCCGAAGACTTGGATTGGTTTTATTACAGTTACACCAGCCCTGTACTGCTAAAAGTAATGATTTTCCTTCAAAAAGTTGTTGACACAAATTGTAGTTTGAGTAGCTGGGATGAAAGTGTAGGACTGCAGACGTTGCCTCTAAGAACTACAGGGCAGAGCACTCCCTCCTCTTCCCTAAGTTTATGACTGTGAGATGCAAGAAATCCGTATTACCCAGACAAGATCCTTGTCCCCTGGATGTCTTCCTCCTTAAAGCACAGACATCTCCTGTATGTCTTTTATTTTGCGTTCTAAGGGTTTTATATATGACAAATGCCAAGAACCTGATGTCATAATACAAAGCTGCTCCTTCCAGTATTTTTATTGTTTCTTGGAATATTTAGGACCCCTTAGAAGAACAAGAGACTTCAGTCCCATACAGGTCATAAAAATAAGTCAAATTCAGTGACTAAACAATATTTCTTTAACAGTTTAAAAAAAAAAAAAGTTATCAGTCTTAATTCCTCTGCTGGTTTTGCAGTTTAACGAGCCACTGTTAGTCCCCTCCCTCTTTTTTCACTTACTACTTCCAACCAGGAGCCTAAGGGCATATAACTTATGACTTACTTACACTTAACATGGCATTAGAATGTTACCTACTTCTTGCAGCAAGAGAATGAAGCTATTCTACCACCTAATGCCATAGCTGCTCAGGTACCAGCCTGGCAAGGAGTCAGACAAGCTTCTTGTAAAATCACCTAAATTCTGGTGTCATTTACTAAAAATAACATTCTTAAATACTTAAAAAACTAACTAATAAATAAAATCAGCTGGCTACCAGGCAGCCATTACTCATATGCTACCGGAACTCTTGTTAGAGCAGAGGGAGAGTTAAAATTATGAGCAAGCAGCAGTTATATTACTAGGTGGTACTACAGAGACAGTACTCCTACTTGTCTCTTGTGCCTTAGCAGCGTTTTCCAGGATTTTCTTTTTCCATTCTTCATAGTCTTCCTTTGTTTCAGTCTTTGGCCGTTTACATGGCATCTCCTCATCATCTTCAGATCCTATGAGAGAAGGAGAAAGTCCATGACAGGCCATCATGGGCAATATGTTGCCAGGAATAACCATGGCAGTGAGCAAATGTACAGATACAAGCACAGGGTCTGTCACTATGTTATCTAATCCTGTGGTTTGCTGCTCCCCTCACCTACCGGAACAGTCACCTCTTCACCTTTGTGTCTGAATGGAACAGTTGTCCTTAATTCTACTAGGACTACTCAGTATAAACACCACTGTCCTTCTGCTACGTTCTCTTTATTCTTTCACTAGCCAGTGGTTTGCAGAATGGAATAAGCTGCTGTGAACTGAATATTATGGCATATTACACAACTAAAATACTAAGCAGCAATAAAGCTCAGAACTGCTCTGGTGAGGTGATTTTAGTTCATAGCTAAACACAACTTACCATCTTCCTCCTCGCAGTGCTCCAGGTTGGTCTGCAAGCTTTCAGGTGTCTCTGCAGCCAGTGGAACATCTTCTTCTAAAAAAAAAAAAAAAAAGTAGCTTTACTTCTGAATGGTGTTTGGGGCCCCAAGGGTGGTATTCTACATGCAATTCTTTGACAGCAGTGCCACCTTCCAAAAGTATTGTCTCCCAGTCAGAGCCGTTCCCTACTCCAGACTGATGCTCCTGTACATGCAGAGGTGCCAGCACACTTCAAGGGTTGCACAGACTGGTTAGCTGCTGCATTTGTAACCACAATGATCCACCATGTTCATACCCCAAAAAACCACTGCTACCATTCTTGATTACTCAGGCAGAATTATCAGTTATTTCTTCCTCTTCTATCCCACTTCCACACTTTGTGTTATAGATGCCTACATCATGCAGGGGGCTGTCCATGTATACAGATGCACACTGAACTGATACAGAAACTCTCAGCTGCCTTTAGCTGCTTTGATGGTGGGGTAAGGTTTTGGTTTTTTTTATAGGGCACTGCACTATGGGAAGTCCATGCCTAGGGAGAGAGCAGCAGCTTTTGGTTTGGGTTCAGGCAGCACATTCCAGAAAACTTCATGATACAAAGCATGAAGCAGGGGTACTGTCAGTGGGAGAGTAAGAATGAGAGCCTGGGAAAGGAAAGAGGAGATAAGTAGGAAGGAGCAGAGATACAAGGATAGAAAGGCGTGTATCGTATTTCAATCTTCCTCCTCCTCCACAAAAAGGAGTGGAGAAAGCTGCAGGTTCAACAGTGGGCGAGAAAGATTCCTCGTGTCTGTCCACAGTGTGTGGAGGGATGGTGTCAGGTAATGGCTGAATTACTACCAGAAGAGCGAGGCTTAGGCTTGTTAATCCTGCAGTGGGGGAAAGGAAAACACAGAAGTGAGTCAGTCAAAGCAAGAGAGGTAGCAAGATGTTTATGTTAATTTGTGTGTCATGTTGCCATGTTAACGGGATGCAGAAAGCAAGCAAGAAGGAGGAATCCAAGATAGGTCAGGTAGTATGGGAGAAGCAGGGAATAAATTGCAGCAGCAGAGAATGTAAGGAGCAGTGAGCGTTTGAGAAGAGAGGAAAACATT